CGAGGGACTTATTTTGGCAGTAGCCTACATCCACACACAATAGAAGCAATTTTGCAGGATTTTTATATAATTCGCTGTCTCTTACAAATTCTGGTACCACTAAGTATCAACCATGAGTACCGCGTGCATTCATATATTGAGATATCTCAATTATCACTAGGTCATGTCATTTTATTTGTTACTGGCTGTTACTAAACTTAATGTTCCAATGCACCGTTAACCATCATTTGCAAACAAATTATTTCACCTAATAATTATGTCATGGCCATATTATCTTAAATAAATATATAAGAGGGTGTTTGGTGAGGGTTAAAATTAGATTTTTAGTGGATTGTGATACAAATTTTTGAAGTGTGTGGTTGAAAAAATTTGAAACACATGAAAGATGTGGTTAATATTGATTGTTTGACTTTGATTTAGATTAAAATCAGATTTTAATCCGATCCAAACAGGTCCTAAATGTCCCTGCAAAGGATTCATACGATTTTAAGGAATTTCTTGGGGAAATTAAAGAATAAGATCTGCAAAGGATATAAAGCCACACACCGAAAAAGCAGTTTTTGAGCGACTCGGGAGTATTCAATTGGCTCAATTATTGTACTGTTTCTTCTAAATTCTTGCAGCACTAGCATTCATGAAATGTAAACTTGTTAAAGATAAAATTCAAATAAAAAAAAACTTGTTCTTTTAAGAATTTAAACTTTGATGTGATCTAACTTGTTGAAAAAAGCATAATCATATCCAAAATTCATACGTGGGAGGATTTTGATGACAATTTTAATTAGATAAATGAATGGAGTATCGTTGCTATTAGTTTATGATTTAATATGTTATAAAAGCATAAAGTGTTCTAAAATTCGAGTATCGATGCCATTATATATATATAAAGTGTATGTATTAAGCCTTTAATGAGAATATGGATAAGTGGGAGGGTGATGATCGCCAAACTTAAGTATATAAATTAATTGCTATCGAGAGTAGGGGACCTTGTGCTCCCCATATTGCATGGGTTGTATTTAAGCCAATAACGTGTTTGATGTTTTCTTCATAGTGTTTCAATGATCCATCTACAAAGGCGATCGGACTTTCATTGAAATTTTTTGTGGTGTTGTTTGGACATGGTGTGATATATTTAACGAGACAAGGTCTTCATTGATGAGATGTTCAACATATTCTTGAACTCATTTGTTAATTCTGAGATGAATTTTTATTTTTGTTTTTCGTAGTGGTGTTTGAATTTAGTGTGAAGTATTTGATGGACGAGAATTATTGTGGACGACCACTTGAATCTTTGCTTTTTACAAGAGCTAAGGCTTGTTCACTCCATAGGGGTAATTGATAGGAAATTTTGGGTATAATCAAGTTTCCAACATTTATGATAATAAAAGAGAAGAGTTGTGGTGTGCAAAGTGCTCCCAATAGCTTTGATACCAAGAAGAAAATATGGAAAAGAAACAAAAATGAATAAAAAATTGTTTATAATTTTATTGAATGGTGACCATGGACCATGAACAACTACCACACAATGATTCCTATATATAATAAAACAAGATTAACAACTCTCCACTAATTTTGTTGCCAGTTTTTATTCAAATGTAAAATGACTATCAAATAGCAAGCTAACAACTTCGCATTTTTTAGGATTGTAATACTTCATTGATTTTATCATGGTAGATCTTCCCATCTTATTGGACTATCTTTTGATTTGCATTAATTGACCCCTAATCTTCTTGATCACTCAAACTCTGTCCATTGATTTTTAAATATTATGAGGATATCAACCTTATCCATTTTTTGATCCCCATCCTTTTTTTTTTTGTTGCCAAGCTCTGAGATATTCCTAACAATTGGACCCTTGAAGAGCTCAGCAAAATTTCAAATTATTTGAAAAATGAATTTGAAATGAAAGATTTGCGAAAAATCAAATTTTGTATTGAGTTGCATATTGAACATTTTCAAGAAGAAATATTCGTTCATCAATCTTTATAGACAAAAATTATGCTAAAACGTTTTTGTGGATAAAGGATATCCATTGGCATCATCAATGTTGTCTAATCACTTGTTGAAAAAAAAAAAAGGATCAATTTCAT